TTCATGAACATATCTTCCTGGGCAAGGGAAACAAAAGGAAAAATGAACAAGTGGGACCATATCAACTTGAAAAGCTTCTGTACAGCAAAGGACACCACCAACAGAACAAAAAGGCATCCTACAGTATGGGAGAATATATTCATAAATGACATATCTGATAAAGGGCTGACATCCGAAATATATAAAGAGCTCACGCACCTCAACAAACAAAAGCAATTAATCCAATTAAAAAATGGTCAGAGGAGCTGAACAGTTCTCCAAAGAAGAAATTCAGATGGCCAACAGACACATGAAAAGATGCTCCACGTTGCTAGTCATCAGAGAAATGCAAATTAAAACCACAATGAGATATCACCTCACACCAGTAAGGATCGCCACCATCCAAAAGACAAACAACAACAAATGTTGGCAAGGTTGTGGAGAAAGGGGAACCCTCCTACACTGCTGGTGGGAATGTAAATTAGTTCAACCATTGTGGAAAGCAGTATGGAGGTTCCTCAAAAAACTCAAAAAAGAAATACCATTTGACCCAGGAATTCCACTCCTAGGAATTTACCCTAAGAATGCAGCAATCAAGTTTGAAAAAGACAGATGCACCCCTATGTTTATCGCAGCACTATTTACAATAGCCAAGAAATGGAAGCAACCTAAGTGTCCATCGGTAGATGAATGGATAAAGAAGATGTGGTCATATACACAATGGAATATTATTCAGCCATAAGAAGAAAACAAATACTACCATTTGCAACAACATGGATGGAGCTAGAGGGTATTATGCGCAGTGAAATAAACCAGGCAGAGAAAGACAAGTATCAAATGATTTCACTCATCTGTGGAGTATAAGAACAAAGAAAAAAACTGAAAGAGCAAAACAGCTGCAGACTCACAGAACCCAAGAATGGACTAACAGTTACCAAAGGGAAAGGGACTGGGGAGGATGCGTGGGAAGGGAGGGATAGGGGTGGGAGGGAGAAAGGGGGCATTATATGTATAATGTGGGGGCGGCACGGGAAGGGCTGTACGACACAGAGAAGACAAGTAGTGATTCTACAGAATCTTACTACACTGATGGACAGTGACTGTAATGGGGTATGTGGGGGGTACTTGGTGATGGGGGAGTCTAGTAAACATAATGCTCTTCATGTAATTGTAGATCAAAAATACCAAAAAATAATAATAATAATAATAATAATTTAAAAAAAATAAGAGATTGCCCATGTCCCCACTGTGGACAGTTTTCAGAAACATGTATGGTTCTTACAAAAATGATACCATGCTACTCATGCTGCTTTATAACCTCTGTTTCTTCAACTCTATAATACACTATGAAGTTCTTCTTGTAACAGGGAATTTAGATCCACAGCCACATTTCTAAGAGCTGCAGCAGGCACCACTGTGGCCACAGTGGATGGATTTTACTTGTTCCCTGGTGATGGACAAATGGATTGTCCCCAATTGTCCTTCTACTATCAACAATGCCACAGTGAACACTCTCTAGCATGTCTGGATCCCTGCCATCCCTCAGGTCCCAGCTCAAATGCCACTGCCTTAAAGAGGCTGTCTTGGACCATTTTATGTCACAGAGGCCCCACTCCCTGTTGATATTTATAACACCATCATGCTAATTTCCTTCACTGTACCGATATGCACTTTATTTGTTTGGGTGATTGTGTAGTATCTGTCTTTCTCTCCCCAAGGCCGTGTGCTCTGTGAAGGGCACAGACTAGCAGGGACTGGCATTCAATAAATGTTCCAGGTACACAGCAATGCCTCTGAGGCTGATGCTCTGTCTGCAGAGCAGGCACCCCTCCTTCAGGGCTTGGAGATGTGCTCTGCCATGCCATCCTCCATGCCATGTACCCAGTACCAGTTCAGGGACCCACAGATCTGCCTTAGAACTCGATTCCACTTGTGGGCTACTTGAACCTTCCATGTCAGGGCCTGCCCTGCAGACACTGAGACGAGCATTGCTGCCTGCACGGGATGCAGGGCACGGGAGGCTGGCAGTGCAGCTCTACCACCCACTGGCTGTATGGCCTTAGACCAGTTATTTAGTCCCCTCATCAGTAAAATGGGGCTAATACTACTGATCTGATGGGGTTGTTCTGAAGATTAAGAAAGATAATAGATGTGCTCAGAATATAGTAGGGCTTCACAAAACAGCAGTTTGGCTTGACATACAGTTAGTTCAGAGGTTAGGTCTGACCCTTTTTCACCTGCATGACCTCTTTTTACCTTGAGTGACTCTTGAGTATCCCCTGGCCTCCTCCCTTGGCCTGTCCCTAGGGATGTCCCATTCCTATCCTTTAACTCTCGTTAAATAGCTAAATGTTCTGCTCTGACCCTTGTCAGACTTCCAGATGCCCCATCTGCTAAATATGGCCACAGACACCTGCCTGGCCTCCCAAGCCTTAAACAGGTGCTGATACATGCTGAGGAACAAAGGGAGGAGCCCCTGCATTTGGGGGGAACTTCCTGGTCCCCCAATGCTCAAACATGGGGTTGTGATGCCTGAGTCAGCCTGTCTGGTTTCTCATCCTGTCTCCCCCACCTGAGCTCTTTGCCTACACAGCAGGTAATTTTACCTCTCTAAGCCTTACTTTTCTCCTCTACAAAGTGGATAGAATAATAGAATCTGTGAGGATTCAATAACATAAGGTTAAAATGCTTAGCAAAGAGCCTGGCATTTATTAAATGCTCAGTAAATATTAACTATTACTGTTCAAATTGCTTTTTAGCCTTTTTACTATGTGAAATATAATACAGAGAAAAGTACACAAAACAAAAATATTTACTGCAATAATTATCACAAAACACAGAGTTGTGTGGCCACCACCTGGGTCACTGAGAGCACTGCCCCTTGGAAACCCCTCCTGATTCCCTCCCAATCCTTAGATCCTCCCACAAAGGTAATCGTTTTCCAGACTTTTCTGATGCTGTCACTGTTATTAATGATAATAAGCAAATGAAAAAGAAATGTGTGACTACTCTGACCTGCCCAGGCTCCTGGCTGCCTCTGCTCTGGGCCCAGAGACTTGCCATCCGATTTCCCAATTTCAGCTTCAGCTATTCTTTAAATAACCAGCTTGTTAGCAAAATAACAGCAGTAACACCTCCCTCGCTACCGTCCGGGCCTCCGTCTTTCCACGCAATGCTGACGGCTGCTCTCCCAGCTCGTGCCAAGGAATCCCTTTCTCCGTCACTAGGCCACACACTCCAGGAGCTGCCAGCTATGCTGCATTCTCAGCAGTCACAATCCCACCCTCTGACCATGCCTGGCCTGCGGCAGGGGGAGAGGCAGGCCCATTCTGGAAGGACTAGAATGTTGATAGATGAGCCCTCTCTCCCAGGTCCGTGCCTCAGTCTCCCCAGCAGTGTCCCACAGGCTCATAAGTAGTTTAACTGTGATAAGGAAGAACATGGAGCACTTAGAGCGCTGCCAGGCACAAAGTAATTGCTCAAGAAATGCTTGAGCTCCCTGAGCAATAGACATAGTCCCTGGGGAGGACATGCAGGACACTAACTAGGGCAGGACCAGGAGTGTTTGCAAATGACTAAATCCCAGAGACACGCACAGCTCTCAGGCCAAGATGTCCTTGTCAATTCTTTTCCTGTGACAGCTTCCCAACCACATGTAACAGTTGTCTGGGGTCACTATAACAGGTCAAGGGAGCTGGGTGGGGGTCAGCAAATGAGCAGGGCCCTTTCAAAGTTATTAATAATAAAGCTGGCATCATACAAGTGTGCAGCTCCTGGCTCCTGAAATAGCACTTCTTGTACTTACCTGCAGCGAACTCCATGGGTTTTCTCTTAGCCTATGATATTTGCATATTATACATATTTACGAGATTGTTCTCCCTTCTCATAACTATTCTATCAGGGAGGCTGGGGAGCTGTTGGCTAAAGAGAGAATGGAGACCCAAGGGGCTGGCCTGAGCTGACGGCAAGCTCTTTAGGGTCAGCAGGGACCAGCCACTGGCCAAAAGGTCAGGGGGCTCTTGGGTCCTGCCAGTGTCTGGGTGGAGTGGGGGTGAGAATACCTTCCCTCCCCACCACCTTCCTACCTTCCACAGATATTTATTGTGTACCCACTATATGCCAGGCGCCGTGCCAGCTGCTGGATGTCCAGTGGGGAATGGAGCAGTTATTTTTCACCCTTGGGGAACTGAGGTCAGACCAGGAGGCAGATTGTAACAAGTGGCCCCATGTAGCACTGAGTGGTGGCTGGGTGACTTGCCTGGGCAAGCCCCTTGAGCTCCTTGGAGCCCTGGTTCCCGCCTCTGTGAACAAGCCCAGTCATGCCTGCACGGCCTTGGGAGGTGGCTGGAGGCGGAGATGCAGGAGTGCAGGGAGGGAACGGTGCTGTAGCCGCTGCCGAATCCGGGCAGTCTGCTGGGACCATCACTGGGGGACGGATGAGGGGATCTGGCATGGCAGGCTGGGGCACCCTCAGATGAGTGGTCAGAGATGCTGCAGAGCTCTGCGCCTCATCCCGAGTTGGGGTTATGCAAGGTGGGGGCTGGAGGAGTGTGGGAGGAACAGGCAGGGTGGGCAGGATCGAGACGGCCCCCCAAGATTCAGGAATTCTAAGGGCCTCGCCTCAGCCCTCAGTGTCCGCAGAGGTTCTATGGCATCCAGCATAGCTCCCCACTCTCTTTCCCCTCCTGAGCCAACCCAACTGCCCCAGGCCTGTGAGGTAGACAGAGCTGAGCTTGCTGTGCACTCTCAGGCAAGTGGCTCCCCTCTCTGAGGCAGTTTCCTCTATAACATGGGGGCAGTCACCATAGCCCCCTCCTAGGCTGTTGGGAGGACTGGATGAGACAAGAAGTTCAACTATAAATTGAGCCCCAATGTATGAAAAGCTCTCACTGAGGTCCCTTCACTACTATCATGTGGGCACTGCTGGGGGGAAGGCTGAGCATTTCCCAACTGTGCCAAGCAGGGGTGGGTGGTGAGCAGCCCTGATTCCATGTGCCCAGGCTGTACATGCAGTTACTTACCAGCCAGGGAGCTACGTGCAGAGGGAAGATGGGAACCAGCAGGCTGTCACATCAGGAGTGGGCGCCGGACTGAGGGCTGGCACACACATCCCTCCAGGCACTTGATCAGAGGTGCTGGTGGGAATCAGCGTGGGACAGGGGCCCTCCAGGGCCCAGAGTGACCAGCTCTGGCCACCAGGCCCCTGGCAGAGAGGGAGGCAACAGCGCCTGCAGGATAAGAGAGAACATTAGTTAGAAGCTTCCTGGGATAATCTCTCCACCCTGGGACCCCTGGACTGGCCCTGGGATAGCGGGGAGGGAGACACCGTGGACCAACAGTCATAGAAACCCTCATGCTTGTACAACACCACATCTTCCAAAGCGCTCTGGCATCTGGGCTTGTCTGGGCCCCCACAATGTTGTTCAGAGGCATATTTATATGTCATGCATATTTACGACGCCTTTCCCACCACCCACAGAATCCCCACAGCAGCTGGGAAGCTGGGGTTCCAAAGGCTCTGATCCTCCCCCCACCAGCTTGCTTCTCCTTCCTTCTGTGGATGGGGGCAGTCGGGAAAGGGCTGGAGTCACACAGTCCTGAGTTCAAATCCCAACTCAGCCCCTCATTCACTGGGCAACAGTGGGCAGGCAGCTGCCTCTTTCTAAGCCTCAGTTTCCCTACTTGTCAAATGGGAAGAAGAGGGCATCATCTGAGGCCCACTGTGAGGACTCAGAAGATAACATGGGTAGAATACCTGGCATGGGGTATGAGCCACACACCCTTCACAGAGGCTCTGCGCCTGCACCTGCACTCAGCACAGGAGGCCCTTCATGCATCACCACCTGACCACCTCCCACATGTTGTGCCTTGAGTGAGAGCAAAGGGAAGCCAGGTGGTCCTCTCCACCTACCTCTCCTGAACAGGTGTCACTTCTCTGCTTGGAACTTTCAACCAGCAGGAACTAGGCCCTCCTGGGAGAAGAAAAAGCCCCCTCCATTCCACACCCCCTGCCCAGGAGCCTTGGGGGCCTCAGTGGGAGCCGCACCCCTCCACCCGCTCATTCTACAGGTAGAGAAACTGAGGCAAAGAAAAAACCAAGCTCCGTGGGGACACAGAACCCAAATGGCTGAGCTGGGCTCTGAACGCAGGCTTTCTGCCTCAGTCCTGGGAGGGGAGGCACCAGGGTCAATTCAAGTAGGAATATGGAGAAAGGAGCTGCAGAGCTGGGGGAGGTCCACCTTCCTCTCTGGGTTACCCTGGGTCCTGGAAAGCCCTCGGCCACTCACCTCCCTGTATCGGCACCTACTCTGTGCCAAGCCCGTAACAGGCACCTCTGGCATACTTCCTTCTTGCTGCAGCCTTCCATTGTTAGCCACGTTTTTCAAAGGGAGAAACTGAGGCTCAGAGCTTCAGAAAGCACCCCATGGGACACACTGAAGAAGAGGAAGGCCACCTGAGTCCAAGACCCAGCATGAAGCCCTGACGCTGCCTTGGTTCCACCAGTGGAAAAATCACCCACCAAGAAAAACAGGCACAACCCTCTGGAAGAAAAGTGTTTAAGTAGCAGGAAAACAAAATACCAAACTCCAAAAAATTCTGTATTAGTGGACACAAATTCTTAAGGATGCATCAAAGACTTCAAGATGAACCATAGGGCAAGAAAATTAGTGCTTGGGAGGATGAATTCCTGACCAAAGTGTCCCTTTTAGCCAAAATCAGCCACAGCCCAAAGCTGGAGGGAAAGAGGTGACAGCAGAGGCAGGCGTCCTGATCTGCTCGATGTGCTCTGGAGACCCCCAATTCCCTGCTGAGGAACTGGAGCAAGTCTCCCCCGCGAGCCCGCACTTTACAACAGGGGCTGAAGCACGCACGTCCTTCTGTCAGGCCCCTGCCAGCCCTGACGGTGCTTCAGAGCCAGGGACTTCCAACACGGAAGAACCTCAAGAACATTATGTTAAGTGAAAGAAGTGAGTCACGGAAGATCACATAGTGAATGGTTTCACTTGTATGAAGCACCCAGAACAGGCAGCAAGCAGATCAGTGGTTGCCGGGGGAGCACTGGCAGGGGTGACAGCGATGGAGTTCAGGGTTTCTTTGGGGGATGATGGAAATGTCCTAAAGTGGATCTTGGTGATGGATGCACAACTCTGTGACTATACTAAAAACCATTGAATTTCACACTTTAAATGAATGAATTGTACGGCATGTGGATTCTATCTCAATAAAGCTGTTAACACAACCCAACACTAGAAAGATTCCACAACTTCCAGATGGGCAGCCTGCAGTCCCCTTGGGGTTCTCCCACTATGTCCCAGGAAGCCAGGGAGTATCTTCCCAAGAAGCCCTCACACCCACACTCCCACAGACCTTCTAACCCAGAGGCCTTTGAACTTCACATTCACCTCTTCCAGGAAGCCCTCCCTGACCTCCCAGCTAGTCATGTCCCCAGTTACTGGCTCCTAGAGCTCCCTCAGTTACTCTTTTTCGCCACTTATCTTGCTGATGTTCCATGGCCATTGGTTGGCACTTCCTCCTCCATCAGACTGGCAGCTTCGTGAGAGCAGAGCCACTGCCGCTGGACATCATCATCAACACTTAGTGCAAGTGCCCAGCACATAGCAGGCGCTCCAGAAATGTTTGCTGGCTGAATGAATGTATTGAATCTCTCAATCCTATGCTGCACACCTGGCTTCCGGTCCTGGCTCCACCACATTGTCGTGGAACGATCCTGGGCAAGTCACATAACCTTTGAGGGTCTCAGTGCCTACCTCAGAGAGTAGCCAGGGGACTAAAGGGATAGTGAATGTGGAAAGTACTTTATGAAGTGGCTCCTCCTGCAGCTGATGGAACCCCCTCCTTCCAGCCGCTCAGGCCCAAGCCCTGGAGTCTTCCTTGATGCCTCTTTTCCTCGCCCTCTACACCTAAATTATCAGCAACCCCTACGGCTCCACCATCACAATACGTGACAAAACTGATGCACCCCCCGGCTACCACTGTGGCTACGCCCGCTGTGCGCAGAGCCGCCATCAGCTCTGACCTGCATCATTCATCCTGTCTTGCCTCCTGCTCTGTCCTTGCTCCAGACACAGAAAGCTGAGGAATCAGGTTAAAACACACATCAGACCCTGCCCCTCCTCTGCTCTAAGCCTTCCATGACCCCACTTCACCTCCAGTAAAAGCTGACAGCCCTGCCGATGCCACAGTGGCCTGTCCATCGCCTCCGGTTCTCCCCTCACTCCCTGCCAGCCCCCTTTGCCCAGCTACGCTGGCCTCTGTGTGTCCCACAGACACACCAGGCCTGCTCCTGCCTCAGGAGGACTTGCGCTTCCTCCGCCTGGGATGTCAGTTGCCTGGAGGTCTAAGAGCCCTGCTCCCTCCCTTCCTTCAGATCTTTGCTGAGACCTGACCTTAGGATCAAAGGCAGCTCAGCGCAGCAACTCTTAACTGAAGAGCTCAGGCTTGAGGTAAAAATGTAGGCACTGCCAGTTACCCAGCTGAGTGACCTTGGACAAGTTTCTTAACTTCTTTGTGACTCAGTTGCTCATTTCTAAAATGGGGAGTAATTATAGCACCTTCCCCATACGGTAGTTGTGAGGCTTAAATGAACTCAGCGGGTGCCACCTCCACTTCTGCTGAGATCATTACTCCCCAGTGCTCCACCTGACACCCCCAGAGCCCGCTTTAGTGCTCCTCTTGGCACTTATCACTACATAAACAGGATATGTAAATGAGTAATTTACCCCAATTATTGCCTGTCCTTCCCACTAAAATGTCGGCCCCACAGGGCAGAGAGTTTTGTCTATTCAGTTTACTGCCAGGTCCCCAGGGCTGGGCACAGCACCTGGCATGCAGAGGTACTCAGTGAAGACCTCACTCAACAAATATGCTCAATCCTGAATAAATACTTATGGAATATTGTCAGGAACTCCGCTTTTCCTCTCCTCTGTCACAGACATACCTCTCTCCAGCCCGCCTTGCCCCTCAGAGCTCCAAGTCTACAGAACCTAATTCTTACTGGCTGCCTGTCTGTGGACATCTCACTCACCTCGTGTCTCGGGTCCAGTTTGTGACCTTCTCTGGGACCCTGCCCTCTACAAGCATAATCTAAGTTGGTGCCTGGAGACAGAGGACCCTCTTCTGTAACCAAGAGGCCAGGAGAGCTGCTCTCTCCCCAAAACCTCAGACGCCGGAGCCCTGCTCTCCCCCTGAAGCCTCAGAAACCCTCTGCAAGTGATCAAGGCCCACGATAACACACAGACATGAATTTTCAAGGTATTGAGGAGTGTTGCCCAACAGGACTTCCTGCAGCGATGGAGAGGCTTTCATCTGCCCCGTCCAGTAGTGGCCATGAGACACATGTGGCTCCTGAGAGACCAGAATGTGACTAGTGCAACTGAAACATTTAAATTCAAATAGCCACATGTGCCTCAGAGCTACCCTACTGGACAGCAGACAGCTTTTAGCATTCTCCAGATGCTTACACTTCTTGAGCCACAACTCCCAAAGCATTCTGTCATTTCGCTAGGAAGATTTCTACTGTGTACCACCTGGTCCCCGCTTTTATAAATTGAGGTTACCCAGAACCCACAAGTTAGCTGCTTCTTTACAATTCCAGGTCATTCAAGAACTGGTTGCCAAACTTCTGCTCTGGGTCAAGCAATGAGCCAGATGTCGAAGACATGCTTGTCCCTGCCCCCAACAAATTCAGTCTGGTGGGGGGCACGTCCTACAATGGGGTGCATGACAGAGTCAGTGGGTGCAAGAATGAGGTTTATACAGTCAGGAGAGCCATGGGGACAGAGTGACTAGCTCAGCAGAGGAGTCTGAGAAGGCTGCATGGAGGAGGGGACACTGAAATGGAGTTATAGCACTTCCTGATTTGCAAGACACATTCCCATCCACTGTCTCAAGGAGGCCTTGCTGTAGCCCTGCGAGGGGTTCAGGCCTGGCCTGGTTTCTGATTTTCAGCACTCTGGACTCACATCAGCATACACTGCAGGGGATCTGGGAATGAGCACTGAGTGTGGGCCACAGCTCTAAGCCCTGGGCTGTGGAAGCCAGGACCCCCGTGGTGAGTGAGGGCAGAGCTGGCTTGGACTCCCAGGCCACCGCTTCCCTGAATCCTCCACAGCTGCTTCTTGGGAAGGTTCACCCCCAATCCAGCCAGATGGTGCCCAAATTTGTTTTCAGTAGAGAACCTGGAAATCAGATGATCTCTAAATCCTCC